TTCCTCTGTTTCTCCACTATCCCCTTCTTTCATATAAGATAGATATTTTCTACTATACTAATTCCCTTGTTTTTTCTTTCACATATTTTTTGAATTATATTCTTAATGTTTGCCCTGAGGGTTACAATTAACATCCTAACTTATCAAAATCTGGCTTGGATTAGTACCAACTTAATTTAAATAGTTATGAAAACGTTGCTCCTAAGTAGCTCTTTCTCCTCCTGACCTCCTTTGTGCTATTACTGTCACACAAATTACATTTTTACTATACTGTATGCTCATTAACCTGATTTATAATTGTTGCTTTATGCAGTTGTCTTTCAAATAATACAGGAGAAAAAAAGAATTACAAACAAAAATAAACACATAGTCTTCTTTATTTACCTATGTTGGTATCTTTACTTGGGTTTGTTATCTTTCATGTGAATTCCAGTTACTTTCTAATGCCCTTTCATTTTAGTCTGAAGGATCTGTCTTTATTATTTCTGTAGGGTATGTCTGCTAGTGATGAATTCTCTTTAGTTTTATTTCCCTGAGAATGTCTTAATTTCCCCTACAGTTTTGAAAGGTAGTTTCATTGGGTATAGAATTCTTTGTTGATAGACTTTTTCTTTCAGCACTTTGAATCTCTCTTCCCATTGCCTTCTGGTTCCTATGATCTCTGAAGAGAAATTTATTGATGACACCTTATAGAAAGTCATTTTGTTCTCTCTTTCTGCGTTTGAAGTTCTCTCTTTAACTTTCAAGAGTGTGCTGATGATGTGTCTTGGTGGTTGTGTGTATCCTACTTGGAATTTGTTGAGCTTCTTGGATGTGCAGATCAATGTATGTCATCAAATTCTGATACTATCCCTGCCAGGGTGTGGAGTGAGGAACCTAATTTTAGCTTGGCAAAGGTAAGTCTAGGTCCCTCACTTAGCCTTTGCTGGCATGAGTGGTGGTGGGGCCACTGTTTTTTCTGGAGCATTTGGCTGGCATAGAGTGGTTATTGTCTTAAAGTATTCCATCTTCATAGGCTGTTTCCTCATCCTTTGGCTTGAGGGAGCAGGATTTTTGGAGGAACTTTCTTTTTTTGTTTTTGTTCTTTGTCTGGCAGGTCCAGATTGCTAGCTTCTTTAATTGTAAATCTGAGATATACAGTGCAATAGAATACTCAAAGAGTCCACCACTGTGTCATCTTGGGTCCTGAACAACAGAGCAAATCTGCCTTTTTGTCTCCACCTTTTTGACTTCTTTTTTAAAAAACTGTTTTCAGTTGTGCTTTGCTGAAAGAATAAAGAAGGGTGAATGAACTCCATCTTCCCAGAAATGGAAATTAACTATATTTCTTTTTAAAAGGTACTTTATCATAGCCACCTCATCTTGTTACATTTCTACCTTCCCCAACTGTCAATGTCTGTTTTTTCACAAATGTTATTCCTATGTTATTCTCACTGAAGATCCTAAATATGCTTATTTAAAGTCTTTTGTCCCCCCTGACTGTCCTATTATTTTAAATTCCTCTGGAGTTAATTCATATTATGATTATTGATTCTTGGTGGCTATTATTCTTAGCATTAGACGTCTTCATGGACTTCAGAGTTTTGACTTTAAGGCTTAATTTTGGGTGAGAGGGTATCTTTCGTTTTCATTTCCTCTTTGTGTACTCAACCCTTTTCCTTCTGAGGACGCCCCCTGTTTCCCTGGTCGAGCAGTTTGGAGCCACTCCAATGATACCTGGTCTGCAGTACAGAAATGTGTTTTATATTGGTGGTTCACAATTCCTGCCCCTCTGGGGTCTACTTGTCAACCAAGGGTCATGAAAGTAATGATATTGGCTGTTCTCCCTAGCTCCAGGGCCACACTTTCACAGAAGGTTTTGCCCCGTGAAATGGCTGAAGTAGATATTTCAGACTCCTCTTTGACAGAGGGGTGATCCCTTTTCCCCCTTGATTCAAATAGTAACATTGGCTCTGTTACCAGCCTTGTGTCCCCATTATGCCTTACGATTCAGAGCCCAGCTGGCCCATGGCTTTGTCAATTCTCAGCAGTTTGTGTTTCTGGACGATGGTGGAGTTTAGATTGTTTTTGAGGCCAGCTAGATCCTCTCAGTACTTTTATTGTGTAGTTTATTGTCATTCTGTGTTTGTGATAGCAGCATCTCAGAGCATGAATCATAGTATTATCTGGATATGAAGTCAAATGCTCTGCTTGTTTGTCTTATTTTGATATTCATTTTCATTTTAATTAGCTCTATTTTATGCAATGCAACTTTATGTCCCATTTTAAATAGATGAAATACAAATAAATGATATATTCCTTAGAGTTCATGTTTTGTCATTTCTTAAATCAGGGTACACCTTATTTTCAATACACCTTAGAATTTAAGATGGATAGTGTCAGCACAGCCGGAAGCATAGCAGACACTTCACTCATACGCACAGCATCCTGTAACCTGGGAGGTGCAACCCGGGTACCGAGGGCAGAAAACCTGGTGGGGGCGGTAAAGGGGGCACAGGATAATTTCTGCATCTGAAATCGCCGACCTCAGTCAGGATGGGCACAGCTCCTGCCTCCATGTGATGTGGGAGAGCTCACAGAAGCAGTTTAAGGAAACACTGTCCTTTCTTTCTCCCCTTACTTTATGTCCTAGACATTTTCAGCTGATCACAAAAATGTACCTTTTGTCACCCTGGGGTACACAGTTGTGGGGCACAGCTAGACTATCCTTACTGAGTATGGACACCATCATGTCCCAATTCCCATTTTATAGAAGCATAAACTGTAAAGATATGAGTGAAGCTGACTTTGTCCCAGGTCTGCCAAAGCATGCAAGTGGCTGCCAGTTGTTTAGCCTCCTTGAAGATGGTGTCTTTGAAAGATTGGCATGGTGGGTGTCTTTTCTCTCCATCCATGCTCCAGCCTTGAACTGACCATTTAGAATCACCTCAGTACTCAACATTCAAAAAACTAAGACCAAGGCATCTGGTTCCATCACTTCACGGCAAATAGATGGGGAAACAATGGAAACAATGACAGACTTTATTTTCCTGGGCTCCAAAATCACTGCAGATGGTGACTCCAGCCATGAAATTAAAAGATGCTTGCCTCTTGGAAGAAAAGTCATGACAAACCTAGACAGCATATTAAAAAGCAGAGACATTACTTTGCCAACAAAAGTCTCTCTAGTCAAAGCTATGGTTTTTCCAGTAGTCATGTATGGATCTGAGAGTTGGACCATAAAAAAGGCTGAGGACCAAATAAATGATGTTTTTGAACCGTGGTGCTGGAAAAGACTCTTGAGAGTCCCTTGGACAGGAAGGAGATCAAACCAGTCAATTCTAAAGGAAATCAGTCCTGAATATTCATTGGAAGGACTGATGCTGAAGCTGAAGCTCCATACTTCGGCGACCTGATGGGAAGAGATGACTCATTGGAAAAGACCCCGATGCTGGGAAAGATTGAAGGCAGGAGGAGAAGAGGGCGACAGAGGATGAGATGGTTGGATGGCATCACTGACTCAATAGACATAAGTTTGGGCAAACTCCAGGAGATGGTGAAGGACAGGGAAGCCTAACATGCTGTGGTCCATGGGGTAGCAAAAAAAAAAAAAAAAGTGGGACACAACTGAGTGGCTGAACAACAACAGTAAGGTCAAGTAGGAAAATCATACATCGTGTGTGTAGGTTGCTTCAGTCGTGTCTGACTCTTCTTGACCCCACTGACTATAACTTGCCAGGCTCCTCTGTCCACAGGATTCTCCAGGTAAGAATACTGCCATGCACTCCTCCAGGGGATCTTCCTGACTTAACAGATGAAGTCCACATCTCTTATGTCTCCTGCACTGGCAGGCGTGTTCTTTACCACTAGTGCCATGTGAAAGTGAAAGTGAAGTCACTCAGTCGTGTCCGACTCTTTGTGACCCCATGGATTGTAGCCTACCAGGCTCCTCCATCCATGGGATTTTCCAGGCAAGAATACTGGAGTGGGTTGCCATTCCCTTCTCCAGGGGATCTTCCCGACCCAGGGATCGAACCCAGGTGAACCCAGGTCTCCTGCATTGTAGGCAGACACTTTACCATCTGAGCCATGAGGGCCATGTGGGAAGCCCCAAAGGCATCCAGTGAAGTGAGTCAAATAGCTCATCCACTTTGGCCCGGTATTGTCTCTCCTTGACAAGTACCCTGGTGAAGCTGGCAGAGAAAATGGCTGGGGTTCACATACAAGCATGGTTTCTAAAACTTCCACATGGAAAATAAGATAGAGAACTCTAAAAAAGGGGTCTATTAAATAAACTGGGTACATGGTTTCTTTGGAACATAGGCAGTAGTTGAAAACTATGCTTTTTAATGAAAAGTGTTCAAAATTCAGTGTGCTATTAAGGTCGCAAAACAGTTCAAAAGACACAATAATTACTAATGTTTTATAATACACTATTTATCTTAGAAAATGACTCGATGGAGCTACAAAAATATTACTATTTCTTCTCTCAGGTGGAGGGACTCAGAGAGCTACAAACTTTTTCAAAAGACTTCTTTGATATCAAGATTTTCTACAATGTATCTATACTACACTGAATTTGCTTGAAGTTAGCACAAAACAAAAGGCAAGTACAAATTTGTCCAACAGTGCTCCTTCACCACTCCAAAAACAGCAGGCCACTTTTTTATATAAAAGTCAACAGGACAATGTACTTCATTGGTGTATATCGTTTATTTTTACCTGGCTACACATAGGAACAATAAATTCATCAACACTCTCGGCTGAATCAAAAGATATATATATTAAAAGCAAGCTTCATTTAAAAGAATAAATACAACCTACGCGCACACAGCTTTACTAGCAGTCTTAGGTAGAATTTCAAAGAAAGGAAGACACCGTTCCTAACAACAAAACGTCAGTAGCCACACTCACCACTGATTGGCTGCTGAGGAAAGGCATGTGGGCCTTACGTCACTTCCGGGGCGGGCCTCGGCCCGCGCGGGAGCTGGTGGTCTCCATGGCAACCAGCGGGGACCGCGCTAGGCCCGCCTGCCGCCCACACCTCCGCGGTGCACGCTCCCCGCCCGCGCCGCGACCGGCCGTGGGCCACGACCGGGGCCTCGGTCCCAGCCTGGCTCGTGCTCCCGCCAGAAGCTGCCCGCGCCCGCCTTCCGCCGCCGCCTCGACCTGACCTGACCGGGAAGCAGTTCCGGCGGGCCGCCGCCGCCGTGACTCATCGGCCAGCCCGCATCCCGGCGATCGGGCCATCTTGGTGGCGGCCGGCCCGGGCAGACGGAGCCGCGGGGGAAGCCGCGGAGACCCAGGTAGGCGCCCGCCGCACGCCCTCTGCCCCCCGGCGCCGCCGCCGCGAGAGCTTCTTTCCTTTGTTCTGCCCCATGTGGGCGCCGGTCCTCTGGCAGGGGGGGCGCCCGCCTCGCCGCCCGCCCTTTGCCCCTCCCACGCCGCCTCCCTCCCTTCAAACCCCCTTTCCGCAGTCGAAACCTTTTTTTTTTTAAAACCGTGTTTTCATCCTTCAGGGCCCTGCAGCCCGCTGTGGCCTTGTGAGCGCGGCGATTCAGGAGCGACATCCGGAGCTCGGGATCCGCGAGGGCCTGCACCCCCTGCCTGTCCCGGGGCTGTGCGCATCTCAGGGTCCGTCTGCCTGCACTCTTGTTGGGTCTTCTCGGCTTGAGTCTTGAACCCCAACCCTAACCCGATTGCTCTCTGGGTCTACCGAATTATAGCATCACAGGTGCTCAGGCTCTGGGTTACCCAAACCCAACCCCAGCCCGCCGTCACCACCTCCTTCTCCACTTTTGTCAGGCTCAGCCTTGACCTCTGGCCAATATGGTCCAACCCCAGACCTCAAAAGCTGAAACCCCAGCCTCTGCAGCTTCTACTGGTGCCCCCATGGACGACGTCATCGACACCCTGACCTCGTTGCGCCTCACCAACTCGGCGCTCAGGCGCGAGGCCTCGACCCTTCGCGCAGAGAAGGCCAACCTCACCAACATGCTGGAGAGTGTGATGGCGGAGCTGACCCTGTTGCGCACCCGGGCTCGGATTCCTGGGGCGCTGCAGATCACCCCACCCATCTCGGCCATTACCTCCAATGGGACCCGGCCGATGACCACGCCTCCGACCTCGCTGCCCGAGCCCTTTTCTGGAGACCCCGGCCAGCTGGCGGGCTTCTTGATGCAGATGGACAGATTCATGATCTTCCAGGCCTCCCGCTTCCCGGGGGAGGCTGAACGAGTGGCGTTCCTGGTGTCCCGGCTCACCGGGGAGGCCGAGAAGTGGGCAATCCCCCACATGCAACCAGACAGCCCCTTACGAAACAACTATCAGGGATTCCTGGCCGAGTTGCGGAGAACCTACAAGTCTCCGCTGCGGCACGCCCGGCGCGCGCAGATCAGAAAAACTTCGGCCTCCAATCGAGCCATGCGGGAACGGCAGACCCTCTGCCGTCAGCTGGCCGCCACCGGCACAGCGCCCTGCCCGGTGCACCCAGCCTCCAATGGGACCAGTCCAGCCCCGGCCCTGCCCACCCGAGCTCGGAACCTTTAGGAATCAGCCATCATCCTGGTCGCATCTGCAGCCATCCAGGTAGCATACCCGCTTTGCTGCGTAGAAGAAATGTACATACCACAGCATCACTTTGTTTGAAGACGTCCCTTCCTGCCTCTGCAGACCTGTTCCATGAGGACATCTCCCGTCATCACTCCGGGGCGTACTGTGACCCACCTTGCTTCCTGGTATCACGTGCTTGCTTGGGACCTCCACTGCATGTTTCCCTTCTCTTGCTTGCAATTCCAGCTCTTCTAGTGGCCTCAGCTCTGCTGCTTGGTCAGGCTCACTCACAATACACTTGGGATCATCTGGGCTGACGTTTTCCCCAGCCTGATCAGGTTCACGGATGCAGCACCCCCACCCTCTGCAGGCCCCGGGGCAGTTCCCCACCTCGTCGCCCTGTTCTCAGTGATGAGCTTGCTGGTGCCAAAAAGAAGCCTGTTTGGCCAGGCAGGTGGCTTGACCTGGAGAGGGGAGTCTGGAGTCCTGCCAACCCCTGCAGGGCCCAGTGTAGCAGGTAGGGGCCTCATCTCTGCTGTCAGTGTCCAAGTGATCATGGTCGGGAGTGTGTTTCCAGGGTTCTCTGGGGGCCAGCTTCATTCTGCACGGGAGTAGGCCGTCAGTGTGCCCCATTGCTGCCCCGGGAAGATGGATAGTGCAGCCTTAGGGGAGCGCCCCCAGAGGCCACACCCTTCAGTGCCTGGCTTGAGCTGCCAGTGTTCTGATAGCACCAGGATTGGGGGGAATCTGGAACTTGCCTGCTCAGAAGGTCAGTGCGACTGGAATCACTGGGCAGTTCCACATACGTGTCCGTCCGTGCCTGAGGCCCCCCTGCAGGCTGAGGGGTGGGCTCAAGAGGCTCACTCTGCTGCCCTGGTTCCCTGTGGGATTCAGTGGTGGTGCAGCCCCCTCTCCTCTCTGCCCCCCGCATGTGGAGGTGGGCCTGGCTGGCTTGAGACCTGTTTTTCTCCACACAGGAGCATGCGCCTTCACCTCAGCTCCTGGAGCCACACACACGGTCTCTAGGTCTCCAAAGCCTCGATAGCATGCCCTCCCCCAGGCCTGGGCCGTCCATCAGACGTCCAGCCTCTGTCCCAGAAAACTTGGACTCAGGGCTGGAGCCCCAGCTCCCCTGGACACATCACGGAGCCCTTAAGGCGAGGGGGTGTCTGCCCGTCTGGCCCCAGTTGGGGCCGTGCTGACATTTGCAAAGGAAAAGAGCAGCCGGCTGCCCAGGTCCTAAGGTGGTGACAGGGCAGGGCTGGCACTCGGGTCCTGGTTCTGAGAGAGAGCCGTGCCTCCGGGTGGTGGGCGGCCTTGTGCTTCCTCCCGGGACGCCCAGAGTCACTTTCTAAATGAGGCTTGGCCAGGCCCTTTGACCTGGGTTGCTCCTGCCATATTCGATACCAGTGATGCCCTCCCCCTAGGCTGTGGGGAAATGGGCCATCCTCCCCTGGGTTTATCGGTCCCGGCCTGACTGCAGGAGGATAACCTCTGTGCCACCCCTTATAAGCCTGCATCTTGGGACCTCCAGAGGTTGTCTCCTGGGCCCATGACCTCCTTCTGAGCAAGCTGATGATGCTGGGGAGAGTGACTGTTCCTGAAAGTCCACTGTCTGCAAGGTCAAGGTGGTTCAGTGGTGCTGAGGTTCGCGGACCACTGCCGCCCCCTCACCGTAAGCTCTGTTAGCCCGATGGCCCTGCTGAACCACTGCCTGAGCACAGGCTTCAGCCCCCTCTGGATTCCAGCCAGGTGCTCATTAAGCATGAAGTGGGGGAGACACACGGGGGCCAGTCTTTCGGGGGACGTGGGCCCTCTGGTGGGGGGTGCACAGACCACTTGTAATTCCTACTCTCTGCCTGCCTGCCTGCCGAGTGGAGGAGCCCACCGCTGAAGGGGCACCGAGACGCCCACGGGAGACGGGGCCTGCGAGGCTAGCTGACACCTGGAAGGTCTCCACGCGGCCCGGGCCAGCCGAGGCAGGGGACCCAGCCCGGGAGCAGGGCAGGAGCTGCTTGCCAACCTAAGTCCTCCCATGTTGGCATCGCGCCTTGTTTCAGCCGCGGCGCCTCACTAGGCCCAGGCCAGCCCTCTGCATGCGGGTCGTCGTGCCCAGCCCTGGCTGCTGCCCCGGCTTCGCTTGGCTTGGTGATGTGGCTGGGTTTTGCCCGTTAGTGCTCATGGTTACAGGTTGGGGACTGGTGCTGTTGGACGTCCGTGGCCTTATTGATTGCCTCCTGCGACCTCGGAAACCGGAGTGGATGTGAGGCCCGGGGTTGGATTTGGAAGAAGGCCCGCGGTGGGAGCCCCCGGTGGCTCTCGTGGAAGACACCCTTGTCCCCAGCTGGAGAGGACACCCACACTCCATGCAGCCAGAGCAGGAACACGTGGCTGAGAGGCTCAAGCTGGAGAAGGCAGCGGCGGGGGAGGGCTGCTCTGTACATATTTGGGGGTTATAATTTCTCTAAATTTAAGAGAACAGATGTTGATTTATAAAAGGGACAGGCAGTTAGTAGTGTTAAACTGTGCATGTGAGGGAAGGTTTTATGTTTTTCATGGTGTTCACGTTACTTGGACCACCTTCTGACTGTTCCTTGGTCCACGGTGCCCCATCTGGTAAGGAAGCTTCGTGGCCTAGCAGGGCCTCACTCGAGCTCAGAGTTAGAAGGGGTGACCTCTGGCCCGCTGTATTGTGCGACCTTGGGATTAACTTAATGTCCTAGAGCATTTCGGTGGCTTCTGGGAAGACACTAAGACTCGTGTCCCTGGTCCCAGGTGAGTATGTAACGAGTGAGTCGTGACACAGAGCCCAAAAGTGCCGCGTGAAGATGCAGGTAAGACTTTTCTGATGTGCAAGCTGCTGTTGTCAAGAGGGACAGAACCACCTGCTGGACCACGATTCCAGCCTTTAGGAGAATAAACAGATAGGGGAGGGCCAGGCAAGTGCTTAGATTACTTTAAGGGAGCAGTCCTGTGAGTGTGTAAGACTGCACATGCCCCGACCAGCTTCCAGGGCTGGAGTTTGGGCAGGAAGAGGGAGAGAACTTAGCAGAGGTCCCGTCCATCTTGCAGCCAGAGCGGGAAGCCTGGATCTCCTCTACTTGAGAAGCCCTAGGTTAGGGGCTTAGAGATGAAGACACAGCTGGACTCTGGAGAAGGCAACGAAAACTTGGCTGTGTGGGGAGCGGGTTGGCGTTTAGGAAAATCCCATCGCCCACCACGGGTGGACAGAGCTGATGACTCCGGTGTAGTCGTGGGGCCCCTGTGTTGAGTGTGGTGGTGGGCATAGCAGAGACGCAGCAGATGAGGTTGGGGTACTGCTAGCCCCTCACTGCAGCATCACCAACTCCTTTTCATAAGTGACCACATACTAGTTCTTTTCATTATCAAAGTCAACCTACACGTTATAGAAATTTTGGAAAACAGGAGTAGAAAGATGTACAGTTTTAACATTTTGGTGTTTCTCCTTCCAGTCTCCCCTCACCCCAGTCACGGTTCCTCTGCTCTTTGTTTTAACATTGGGATGCTGCCTTCCGTAACACAGTGCCGGGGAGCCGTCCTCACTTATGTCATAGGCGTCTTTCTCATTTCATTTTGAAATGGCTGCGTACTCTGCCGTCAGGTAGTGCCAATGGTTGATCACCAATGCTCTTACTGATCTTTCACCATTGGAAATCGATGACTATCTTTGTGCATAAAGCTTTCCCCAGTCCAAGTTACTTCCTTAGGATAGATCCTCAGAGGTGGGATGATAAACCTTCAAGGCTCTGATTACGTATTGACAAACGGTTTCCAGAGATGTTTGTGTCCATTTACATGGCCACCGGCAAGGATAAATGTGCCCGTTACCATCTTGCCTGCACTCAGTGTTCTCACTGGTTAAATATTTGCTAATCTGGTCATGGGAGAATAGCATTGTATTTTAGTTTGCATTTCTTTTTTTTTTTTTTTTTAATTTCTGGCAAACTGGAACATGTCTTCACGTTAAGCAGTTGTATTTCTTTTGTGTGTTGTCGTG